AATAATAATAATAATAAGGGAGAAATGTGGGATTCACATATAAATCAAGTATAAAAATCAAACGAATTATCATATCTGACTTGATTGTTTATAGTTCATGATGCGTGATCAAAACCGAAAGTTTCTGTGATGACTGCCCTTGCACTGTTCACCATGTAAGAACTTATTCACTACGTAAGAACTTGCTCACCATGTAAGAACTTGTTCATTATGCTTCAGAAGATTGGAGACTGTTGAGAAATAGGCTTGGGGTTGATTAATGACTGTGCATTGAGTCCCCTATACAGAATTTTATTGTCGTTAACAACCATTTGATCAATAAATATGAGAGATGCCCTCTCAAAAAAAAAAAAAGTTTTGCATCTTAAGAAATAAAGCTGTAGAATTACAGGGGATGATCCTAAAGCTTTACATCCTGGGTTAGATAAGTTACAAAAAAAGAGAAGCAAACAAATCATGTTTGTTTGTTTAATCAAAGACAGAAATGCTTATTTTTAATCAAAGCTGATTAAACTGTATTCAGTCAGAATTACTGACAGCCACATGATAATGCAAACTGTATATATTACCATCTCTATATTCTGTGAACTCATCAGTTGTTCTGAAAGCTAGTCTCCTTTGCATTGTGCTTTATATTGCAAGGAAAAACTCAGCTTAGAGTTTTAAAATTATCTAGGAGGGTTTCTTTTTTGACAAATCAAAATCGACAAAAATATTTAATACATTAATAATCCTGGCTATAAATGATAATAAAATAAGTGTATTAAATGTGTGATGACTTTTAGCTTGTTTTGATTCAAGAGGAGACAACCACCCTCACAAAGAACTGCAGTTTCATCAAAGCAGTCAGTCCTGACAAAGCACTTACCCAAGGTTGGCAAAACAGTTACTTTCCTACTAAATTATATATAATCCTTTCAAAATTTCTTCTAAAGAACTTTAATGAGTAGGCTGTCCGTCCCTCCCACACAAGGAATTGCTTCTAAAGAAACAGAGTCCCCAAGTTCAGATAATGACTAAAGGTGAAGAAGGTGAGAAAAACCAATTGGCACATGGTTTCCTTTCCCATCTCCTCCTTCCCTCTTTCCTTCTGTCAGTCAGATAGGGAACCAGGGGGGATGAGATTGACTTACTGGAGTGAGTTTAAGAGCTGGACTATAAGAGAAAAAGTTAGCCTCATTAAATTCACTTGCTTGATATATATTTCCTCACTGAACTCTGATGGATACAGAAATTGGTATCAAGTGGGATCCCAAAAAACAGACCTCAAAGGACATTTGTATTGGTTTTGATTTGATCTATCTTGCAGCAGCACCACCATTAACCAAATTAACATTGCCGATTACAATAAAGTATCTACTGAAGAAGGGCCTGGAGGGACCAAGTGGCTGCTACCCTGGAATTTGGCAGAAATTCTAAGTACAAAGACTGTGGTGTGGCATCACCACAAACACTTCTTCCGAATGTAATGGAGCACTTGCAGAAACAAGATGACAAGCTCAGGTCTTTAAATTTCAGCTCACATTTGTGATCAGGGAACCAGACAACTTCTATGGCAGCCCTAATAAAAACTTCTGTGTCTTAAGACCACAGAGCTCACCTTGCTAACACAGATTGAACTGCACCAGCTGCAGAATTTCAGTGTAAGTTGTATTCCACAGACTCATCCAGTTCATGTGTGTAAGTGGAAGCACTAAAGGAGGAAGAGTGAGACCCTGAGACTTGGAGTCGGGATAACTGGGTGGACTCAGCTGAAGCTGAGAACGCTGAACCGCTAAGCTACTCTGAGCCTCTCTTGCTGGGAAAATAGAAATGGCCTGCTCTCCTGTGTCTGAAGAGATAGCTTTCCCTGGCTTGAAGAGCCTATAATGATCTCACCATAACTCTAAGGGCAGTTTCCTTGCAAGAGAATTAATTCCTCTTCCCCTCAAGACCTAACTGGGCTACCCCTAAATGCCCTCCATAACAGGGTTAGACTACAGCATTCTCTGGGGAACAAGTACAAAGTCTGACTCATAAAGTAGTAACTGACACACAGAAATAATTGCAAAATGTTGCTAATCAGTAGAAACATGGGAAATCTGTGTGAGAATGGATTCTGAGAGTGTTAGAAGAAAAACAGAATACCGTGTCAAACTGGAACAATATTTTTTTCTATGAATCACTTACCAGAGAGTTAGTATTTAATACAATTTGGAAGAATCTAAGAGTTAATTTGGTTGGTTGATTGAAATTTGGACTCCATGGTAGCCTACATTTAATAAGATTGGGAGGTCACTTCTTCCCTGGCCTAATGTGGAGGCAGGATCCAAAGGCCTAAGGAAATAGGAATGATGGAGTAGATTCAGCATATGCAGCTTGCACACACAGCCCCTCTCCACTATTCCCCCCAGAGAGCCCAGTGGATACTCCCTTCACTGAGCTCTAGCTGTGTAACTGGAGTGCCATTATATGGGCAAGAGGTACTAGTTTGGCCCTTTAATACCACGCCAGTCATAAAATTTGCCAAGTTGCTACAAAATAAGAAACTCTCCATTTTCTCTCTCTAGTCCCTTGTTTGTGTCCTTTGTGGCACTATTAAAAACTGCAAGTATTCAGTTTACTTGTCTAGTGTTTTTGTTTTGTTTTGTGTGTTGCTGTATTTTTTGCCCATGTTTTCTGTCTCCTCCATAAACATATCAGTTTCATGAGGACAAGGCCTGCATCTATCTTGTTCCACACTGTATCCTGACTGCCTAGCACAGTACCTGGTACACAGGCATTCAAAAATGATGTGTTGAATGCATAAACAGAGCTAGTCTTTCTATTCCAGAAAGAATACAAACGAGCAATAAATTAAGTGCTTGAACTAGAAGTGATTTAGTTAACTAATAATCCAGTCTTAAATCCTACAGTCAGTTTTTATTAAGTAATGAATGGCACTTCAGCATAGTTGGCTAAAGAAATCAAAATAGTTTCCTTATCAGATGTATATATGCCATCTTTTGTATTTTTCCTCAATTATATATGATACACACTTTGACACAATGTAGTCAAGTGTAAAAAACAGGTAAGATTATTGAAATGAAGCAACAGCAAAAGAAATCAGATGTTTACACATATGACAAAATAATCAGAGATTTTGACTCCTGACAACAGAAACTAAATGACTCATAAAGGACATTTTAACCAAATTAAAGTCCTCTACTAATTTGAAAAAATTGATCCATTCTAAAAATATACCATTAAAACTATGAAAAAGCTTTCTGAACTATAAATATATCAGTACTAGATATTTATGTGGAAACATTAAACTTAGATTAGCTGTATTCCTTTGTAACCATGACAGGGAGGTGGGTGTTGATGTGAAAACTTACTTATTTCACTGGAAACCTGGTTCAGTTTATCCTGTGATCTGCTGATAAGGACAACCTTCAGTCCACGCTTTGCTAACTGAAACAATGAAAGTTACCAAACAGTTGAATCACACCTGTGCATTTCATTTTAAAACAGAAATTAGATATATTCTCTTTTTGAAAACCTGATATGATAATCCAAATTAAAAAACCAGTAACCCAAGTGTTAATGAACAGTCCCAACTGAAGACTTTACAAAAGGATCCCCCAAAGGTTACTTTTTAAAATCAAACTAGTATATACATGTCAAAGGGTATTAGAAGGAAGAAGACTTTTACTTTTCATTTTATACCCATTTATACCATTTTTGTAGTGTTCATTACTTCTATAATTTAAAAATTAGCTTTAAAGTTTTTGTTTTGGACCAGAGGGCTGGCAAAGAAAACTCAAGTTAAAATGTTAGGAATTCCTAGAAATACTTTAAACCAATTTAAAATTTTTTATTTAGGCATTATACTTCATGGACAACAAAGGCAAACTAAGGTAGTTAACTGGATAAATTAAAGAATTTCCTGAGGACCAAGTTCTGTGCATACATAATACACAGAACTGTGTAAGTGCTGCATAGAATGTACAGGTTTTACAGGAATAAACCCCCACAGATGCAAATATAGAGGCAAAGGAAAAAAACACTAACAAAATTCCCCAAACCTTCTAGTGAACTATTCCAGAAAGAATATAACTGAGCAATAAATTAAGTGCTTGAACTAGAAGTGATTTAGTAAACTAATAATCCAGTCTCAAATCCTGCAGTCAGTTTTTTATTAAGTAATGAGAGGCACTGTAAATGAGTAGATACAGAAGAACATTTTTTACAAAAATAACAAAGATTGATAATAATTTGCTAAATTAATGTACTATAAAGCCACTAAAGAACCCATGATTCCATACTAACAGTTTTTTGTTTTTACTTTGCTTTTTAATTAACAAGGAAGAAGGACAAGGAAAAGTTCTTATTTATGAAAAAACAATATCTAATAAATGTACAAGTTAAGATATCACTAGAAAATCAACATTTTTAACCATCATGGTAATAACTAATTTAGGCAAAAATTGTCAATGAATGTTAAAACCATTAGACAAAAGAGTGTTGGGAAATAGGATATTCATTATCTCAGTGTATCATCTCATAGATTCCTTATTAATTACAAAGGGGACAAAGGACGTTTATAATGGAGAATTATAGTGGACAGCATTTTATAAATGCTGTATCTTAATAATGGAACAAATGGATTTCTTGTGCCTCCTGACAAGATGAACTCAGAAAGATACACTATCTCCTGAGTAGCACTGCTGATAAAAAATGTTTAATCTGAATCTAATCAGGAGGAAACAATCAGAAACAATCAGATAAATCCAAACTGACAAACCTTCTGCAAAGCAAGTACCCTGGACTTCTTCCAAAAATGTCACTGTTACAAAAGAATTTTTAAAAATACAGCTAGGGAACTCTCTTAGTAAAAAAAAGACACATAGATGCAGTGCATAATCCTTAACCAAATCCTAGAACAAAAAACGAGCTATAAAGGACATAACTGGAACAACTGGGAAATTTGCATATGGGCTGGATATTCCTAAGTGTGACCATTGCATTGTGGTTATAAGGGTGAATGTTCTACTTCTTATGAGATTCACGCCGCAGTATTTATGGGTGAATTTTTACAAAGGCTGTAACTCACAAATGGTCTGGGCAAATAATTTTTTCAAAATAATAATAAAAGGAAGCAAAAACAATTGATGAATTCAAGTGAAGAGTATATGGATATTCATTGTATTCTTCTTGCAACTTTTCTATTTTGATATTTAAAATTAAAAACTTAGAAAAACAAGGGAGGATTAAAAAAAAACAACTCTTATGACAAATGAGAGATTCAATGATCTGCCAGGGTTTTCATCATAATTGGGCACTATCACAGGCTTTGGTGCTTTATGGAGGGGAAGTTTGCCATAGAGTACTGTCAAGGCTCCTGCTTTGTATAGTGGTTTTCAAACTATTATACTATTATGGATTCTTATCCTTTCATTACAATATAGAGAACTTGAATACACTGCCTGTGTCTGTTAATATTTTAATGTCAATCGCAGTCCTTATGAAAATGATGCCATGGCTAGCCTGGAAATATAGTAACTTCTCTACAATAATACATCTGCCTTTTGGAAAAGAGTCCAAAATATTTGACTTAGAAACTGAGGGCTGTCTATACTTATGCAATATGAAATAAAATTACACTAAATTTTTCACAGTTTCAACTTGACAAGAAGTTGTATACTCCTTTTGTACAACAATTTGTTTTAAAATTGTGTTTAAGCAACCATGGTGTTTCTGACAAAGTAGAACCAAAGTACATCTATTGTACTCTATATTGATGTTTTTAACTTCAAAAATCACAACTATGAGATCATTCCATATTTGTTTTATATTTTTATACCAAAAAATAAAAGCCTTGAAAATTACCTACCTGTTCTGCATATGATTTTCCAATTCCATCAGTACTACCTGTGACAACTGAGAAAAGAAAAACAGTAGTTTAGCTTAAGAACTACATGTGAAGAATGCATCATAGTTAGGACCTACCAATTACACAAAAAAGGACCTGTGTAATACTTGACATAAAAGGAGCAATACCACTGGTTCAAATTTAGGACTCAATACCCACCACGATGGCTAAAATTAAAAAGACTACAATAATACCAAGTGTTGCCAAGGATGTGGAGCAACTGGAACTCTGACAAATTGCCAGTTGCACTGTAAACTGACACAATCACTTTGGAAGAACTATTTGGTATTATGTCTAAAACTAAACATATGCCTACCTGCCTACCTGACCTATCAAGCCTAAGAGGAATGAATGCATCATGTCTACCAAAAGAATGTCCATGGTAGTTTTATTTAGGTATAGTACATAAACATGCCTAAGTATTAATCTACAGGAGAATGAGTTAGGTAAATTGAGGCATATTCACACAATGGAATGGCAATAAAAGAGAACTACTGATATACACAAAACATGAGCAGATCTCCCAAACATTACGTTCAGTGAAAAAAGCCTGACATAAAAGTATACATGCTATTGGAAAACCCAGAAGAAATGGACAACTTCCTAGAAAAATACAACCTTCCAAGACTGACCAAGGAAGAAACACAAAAGTTAAACAAACCAATTGTGAGCAAAGAAATTGAAATGGTAATCAAAAAACTACCCAAGAACAAAACCCCAGGGCCAGACGGACTTACTTCAGAATTTTATCAGACACACAGAGAAGACATAATACCCATTCTCCTTAAAGTTTTCCAAAAAATAGAAGAGAAGGGAATACTCCCAAACTCATTCTATGAAGCCAACATCACCCTAATACCAAAACCAGGCAAAGACCCCACCAAAAAAGAAAATTACAGACCAATATCCCTGATGAATGA